AAATAAATACGAAGTTAATGTGTGTTAGTTAAAAGCAACCATATAACAAACAAAGGGTGTGCGTGTGTTGCGACAAAAAAAAAACTACAAACCATTTAACAATTTTAAGGCAAAAATTGCAGATTTTAGAACAGAATTAGGATCTATGCCACGGACCAATACCAGTAGGAAAATAAAAACATTTTTAATGTGTTTTTAATAAATGCGTATCGAGGCCATAATTTTTGTTTTGAAATTAAGTCTATATGGTTTATTCAAATATGATCACAAGATTCACATGGTATTTAAACCGTAAAAATCCTGCAAAAAACTTGCAAATTCTGTTGAGCACAATATCTAAGATCTAAAAGATGCGAAGAAAAAAGGATGCTAGCGATGTGTAGTAACACACGCAACATTATGTTCTATGTTTCGTATATTGCAATAGGTTTCCCTTCACCCCTTTAGAGAAAGTCAAAACATTTAATTATCGTAATGACGGTTAAATACGCGTATATAGAGAAATGTTCGTCCATATATGTCCGAGTAGAAAAAAAACTGCATAGAAAAGTCCAAAGTCGGACGGTGCTGATTATATGATACCCTACATCGCTATTCATATTTTGTAGGGCTACCCATAACAAATATATTATATTGGAATTTGACGGAGGAATTTGTAAAATTGTATTGTACTAAATAAAAGTGCCATAGAGTGCATGATAAGTAAAGTAAGTAGAGGCTATAGTCGTGCGGGACCGACCATGTGATACCCTAAAACACTACAATTGGTTCGAAGTCCCCTTATGTCCATATCCATATTGGAAGATTTCATTTTTGAAATAATGTCAAAAATAATGCCCCTGTTCTTAACTCTCTTCTGATGCGAAATTCCGTGTCGATTAGTTTTCAATTGTGCGACTATTTTTTTTTTTTCGCTAATATCCGTTTTATCCGTTTCTGGCAGGAGACCATTCCGAATTGATGGGAATTGTGAAAATCGCCCCAACGGTTCTTGACTTATAAGCAGAATAAATAAGATATATTCTTTTACATATATATTGTACCTATTTTGCTATAAATCCCATTTCTCGGCTATCAGGCTATGGGCAGAAGTGACCTTTTAATATATTTGTGATAAGGCTTGGATTAATATTGGCGCTTTAGTGGACATTTTCCTATTTTCTTAGATAAAAGTTAGGGCTTATTCTACCCGCTAAATATTGATTGACCGATGGCTGGATGGATGGATTGGTAGACTTTTGCCCAGTTCTAAACTCTAACTCCATGTAAATTTTCGCGTCGATTGGTTCATAACTGTGGCTTATAGAGCAACTGCAAAATCATGAAATTTTTCAGTTTTTGGCCCATTTCAAATATTGTGCAATCATCTCAAATATAGGGTTCTATTATTACCATAACCCCACCTCCATTTTCAATTTCGTGAGGATCGGGTCATAATTGCGACCTGTAGAGTGATTACAAATTAACATGGACAGACGGACGGACGGACATACATAGCGAGATCGACTCAACTCGACGAGATAGGAAGATCCATTTATACTTTCCTATGTGAGAAGCAATATTTCGAGGTGTCACATAATTTTTGGCCCAATCAAACTTATAATAGCCCCAACACATAGTGTTGTAGGGTATACAAATTTACTATTCAATTAAATATATTTTTCCCTTGCCAAAAAATCTATATACCAACCATAGAAACATGTTGTAAGTTCGGCATATTTGATAACATACATATAAATACATGTATTTAACTGGTGTGGAGAAAAACGTCGAGAGAGTACGTCGCATTGTAGGTAATGCTATATAGTAAATTTGCATTTGAAATAGTTGAACTTTGAAGATGAGCAAAAACCTTAAAATGCCGATAACTGGGACACTTAACCTACCAAGATAGCTTGACATACTTACTACAAGCTAAGAGCTGATGTTTTGTCAACATTTTTTTAGAAGCTTCAAATATAAAATTTTAGATAATTCCGTTAAAAAAATTGGGGAAAGTGCCGAGTGCTGTTATTTGGGAAATATACCACCTATATACACCTAAATTAACTGCTGTTTTTGCTAATTGGGACCGTTTAAATACCAAATAACTCCTTTGAAAAATGTGCCGAAAATCGAAATGCTTAAAATTAATACCCCTCATTATATGGGGGCTATACGAAAAAGTTGGCCGATATAACCCACTTGATTTAAATTCAAACCCACAACGCTTGTGTACCAACTGTACTTTATCTCAATTTTATCAAACGATAGCGTGATTACAACAGACAGGCAGGCATGACTAAATCGGATTTGAATTTTACCCTGATCGTGAATACATAAATTTTAAGTAAAAAAAATCCGAAAATTTCCACAAACCCGCGAATATTTTTAATCCCGGCGAAATCTCAAATACATTAAAAGGTAACTTCTGATTATTAGGGTGATGCTGGTAGCCAAGATATCGGATATATAGCAAAATAGTTAAAATCTATATGTAAAAGAAATTGATATTAGTTATTCCGCTTGTAAGTCAAGAACCGCTTTTCTCATAAATTGAGAATGGTCTCTTGTCAGGATATAATAAAATCTAAGAAAAATCACGTAAAAATATGACAATAAAAAAATTAATATTTTTATTTTTTTTTTTTCAATTTTTGTCATAATTTTGTCGCATACGCTATTTCAATTTGACTTACAATTTTGAATTGTAAATTGTTAAAGTTTTTCTACACCCCGCAACACTATGTGTTGAGCGTATTATATACAGGTCGCAATTATCTTCCGATCCTCACGACATTTTGCACGGAGGTAGGGTAAGGGTCAGAATCAATGCCAATTGTTTTTGAAGATTTACACTTAGGGGTTCAAATGGACCAACAAATTTAAATTTTCCTGATTGAACCAATCGGACAGGGAAAAAGTTGAGCATTTGGATTATATTTCGCGGGCAAAATTGAGCAAAACTTTCGTTGAATCTTTTCGAATACATGCCAACGCGGCGGAGTATGTAACACGACTCCAGAATGGATGTGAACATAAGGTGGCGTCCAATATATTGTTTATTCTGTATGGTATCACATGGTCGGCCCCGATCATAGCTTTTCCTTACTTGTTTTTTATACCCTCCATCATAGTATGGAGGGTGTATAGAGTTTGTCATTCCGTTTGTAATACCTCGAAATATACATTTTAGACCCCACAATGTATATATATATATTCTTGATCAGTATAAAATTCTATACGATGTCCGTCCGTCTGTCCTTCTGTGGAAATCACTCTAGCTTCCGAACGAAATTAAGTAGATTGATAAAATTTTACTCAAATATATATTATGTCTGCAGGACTTTTGGTATTGAAAATGTCCACGTTTCGGTATAGCCCCCAATATAACGGTACCTCCCGATATTCGGTATTTTGATGATTTTAGCGACATTATTCATCGGAATTGTTTCAAATTTTCGAAATGGATACTACAGCCTAAGACAGAAAATTGTCTGTGCGGGTACACGTCTTCGTATAGCCCCCATATACAGAATCTCCCGATATTCGGTATTTTGATGATTTTATCGATATTATTTACCGATTTTTTTATATTCCCCATTTGAATATTATAAAGGCTCATGACAGAAGTTATCTATACAGGCCCATGTGGTCGTATAGACCTTAATATAACAGCTACATTCGGTATTTTTAAGATTTTAACAGAATTTTTAACGGATTTTATACTATGTGTTGGGATATATGGATCTTCCTACCTCGCCGAGAATAGTCGATCTAGCTATGTATGTCCATCCGTTCGTCTGTCCGTCTGTCCATGTTAATTTGTAATCAAGCTACAGGTCGCAATTATGAACCGATCTCGCGAAATTGAAAATGGAGGTGGGGTTATGGTCAGAATAGAACCCTATTATTTTTGGAGATGATCGCACGATATTTAGTGGTTAAAATGGACCAAAAACAGAAAAATTTCCTGATTTTGCAGTTGTTCTATAGGCGAAATTTTACATGGAGTTAGAGTTTAGGAGTGGGCAGAATCCTACCAATTTGGGCGGCCATCGAACAATAATTTGCCGGTAAAAAAAGACCCTAACATTCATGTAAGAAAATATAAAAATGTCCACTAAACCGCGAATATTTTCAATCCCAGCCAAATCACAAATACATTAAAAGATCACTTCTGACCATTACAGTGATGCTAATAGCCAAGAAATCGGATATATAGCAAACTATGTACAATATCTTATTTATTCTGCTTATAAATCAAGAACCGCTGGGCCGATTTTCACAATTCCCATCAATTCGGAATGGTCTCTTGCCAGAAAACGATAATATCGAAGAAAATCGCCGGAAAATATACCAATAAAAAAGTGAATATCTTTTGTCGATTTTTTTCAATTTGAGTTACAATTTTGAATTGTAAATTTTCTAAATTTTTACACCCCCCAATACTACGCAATTATCGTCCGATCCTTACGAAACTTTGCATGGGGGTAGGGTTAGGGTCAGAATTAAAGCCTAGTTCTTAAGATGTACATTTTGAGGTGCAAATGGACATCAGAAGTGAGTTAAAGACAGGGAAGAAGTCTAGCATTTTGGATGACTGTAAAATGGACCACAACTTTCGTGTGAAATTGTTTTGATTACTTAACAACACTACGGAGTGCGTAAATATAGGTCAAATTCTCCGGGTCAAAAAACTAAGGGTAACCTCTGAGGCTCTTTGACTTTATTTCAAAAACGAAATCTTCCAAAATGGATTTGGATATTCGAACATTTTGTAGTGTTGTGGGGTATCGCATGGTCCACCCCGCACTACCATAGCCTTTGCTACTTGTTTTTCAGTTGACATTCTACGAAAAATATCCACTTGCTTTTATCTTATATTCTTATGACATGCCTAGATATAAATGTAAATATATATGTAATTTTCTTTATTTATGTACATACTTATACGCGTTTATTTACATATTCATTTGTTTTAATTATTATTTATTTTTTTGAATATTACTATTACTCACCTGAGATGCCGACGGATAACCGCCATATCCAAACTGTGTATATGCAGCCATTGAATTGTTTTTTTTTTTTTTTGTCCTGTTCAAAGTAGTATTGCACTGTATTATTTTCTTTATTTAATTTAAGTTTAATTTTGTTATTTGTTTTCTTTTTTCGCTTTGTTTACTTATTTACTTTTTGAATTGCAATTTTTCAGAAAAAACGGAGAAAAGACAAATTGTCACAAACTTGTTAAAATGTCGTATTTAGTATGTAACAACATTTGTTAAACTTGATTTTTGCATTGGTATTTTTTGTATTTGTGTTATTTTTTATTTCTCGCTCACATCTGATGTGTGGTTGTTGGTAGCGGTAACTGATCCATAATGTCAACATAACAAATGTGTAATGTAATCCTTTTATTTGACATTTGCTTGATTCCAAACAAACTGTGGCGGGGTAAAGAGTTGGAGCCAAGCTTTGTATTCGTTTTAGCGTTTCTCTTAACAAAAAAAAGAAGAAACATAGGTAGAAACCTTCCTATTACTTTAAAAAGTACTCAATTTAATTTAGCTATAACCATTTGCACTATTGTTATGCAAATGAGCGATTTTGGGTTTATTTTTAGTCACTCACTTTCAGTGGCCTTTACACATACTCACAGTTACGTACATACGAACACACTTTCATTAGAGAGAGAACAACTGAGACCGCAAATATTTTTGAAGTTGTCACAAAAATAAAACATGTTTTTGTTTTTGTCTCTTGGCCATATTATGTACTCATTTAAAGGCAAAGAAAAAAATCAATGTTTGTCACCAAAACAGCAACGAAACTAAATTTACGTTTGGCTCAATGCAACGCACACACTCAGTCGCTCACTCACAAGCACGTTGTCGGCAGCTGGAACTTAATTTAGTCGTTGGATCACTACGTACGTAACTGATGCACGTTGCAGATGAGACGACACTAAAGGAAAATATCCGTTAAGACTTGCCGTAATGTTCCGAAATGTTCAATGCTAACAGGTCAAACATGCAATCCCCAACAATCGCGCACCGTGCTAGGTTACAACAAACATAGTTTGACATCGAACGGAGAACATAACGTTTGAAAGTTGGTAGGTCGCATTTGAAAACAACAATCGTTTGTGGTTGGGTGGGAGGTTGGATTTTGAAACCAGCTCAAAGACTGCACTCGTTCGTTGTCTTGACCACGGACAAGGGTACACACACACAGACACAAATATACATACAACTCGTGTACAAACTTAATGCCAAGACATTCACTTAAGGTAGCTGAGTTTCACAAATTCCCCCAATGCCGATGGGAAGGCTAACACACATTCCTTAAGACATAGATACGTTTTACTTGACACACGCAATTTTGTGCCTGCCGTTCAAAGCTTTCACAGAACAGCTTCTGCGCACTAACGATGTTTATCAATAGACCGTCCAACCTGAACTGGTTGCACGGCCCCAGCCACTACTTGATGGCCAACAATTCCCCAAAAAGATGACGTTTAATCCACAGAACAACAACAAAACACGAAAAATAAGAAGAAATTGGCCCAAAACATCTTTGCAAGCAAAATAAAGCTATCTCTTTTATATCACTATTCGAACAGAATGGGAAAAAGAGTTGGCATCATTTGAGAGATAAAATTCTTATAAGAATTTGTTTTTGCTCTCTCGCTCCGCCCTCGTATCAAACAAACAAAGGAGAAACGTTACTCGCTCTTTTGAAAAAGTAACGAGTTGTTGCCCTCTCTTTTCCCAGAGAAGACCCAATGCAATAGCAATGCTCTCTGGCAACTCTTGTTCTCACACTATCTATTTCATTTACACTCATTGGGTGGTATGATGTGCAGCTATTCATTTCCCCTTTTGTTGTGGACTGGAATAACAACAGTTTTTGCTTTTGTTTTTTTTTGTTCTTGGCTCTTTTTTCTTTGGTTTACTATTTGTTGCGGCAGCCTTTCTCAGCCAATGAGAGTGGCTCAATTCACCGTCACTCTTTTGTTCAATGGTGTTGTATTTATCCACTAGCAAAGTCTTGTTGGGTAATACAGGTGTGTGTCTTTTTTTTTGGTTTTTGTTTCTTTTGAATTGTTGTGTGTGTGTGTGTTTGACTGTAGTTGTAGTTGTTGTGTTTCACCTCTTTTAGCAATGACGGCATTCAATGTTAAATAACCATTAATTTTCTTTGGGTTTTGTTTTTCAGTTCTCTTATGGGTATTGGGTGGCAAACCTACACCACCACATTGATAGAAGAAGGATTAATCGTTTCCAAGTGTTTGTTGTCGTTTTATAGTTGTAAAAATGTAGTTGTTGTTTATTTTACTAGTTAAGACACGCCTCCAATGACTGGCGAGTTTTTTTTTTTTTTGTTTTGTATTTTTTCCCCTATTATGTCGGTTTTCATTCGAGCGTTTTGAATGAAAATTTGTTTTCAGCCTTTTCATTCTCATTTCAACGACCGCAAAAGTTTTGTTTTATCATAATGTTGATTTTGTCTTGGTTTTAATTTATTTTGTAAAATTTCATTGTTAGCATTCACTTGGCCATGCTTTGGGTTTTTTTCTCATTTGTCTGACTAGCCTGCCTATTTGTATGTATGGCCACCCTTCTGTGTGCGGTTTTGTTAATTTATTTTGTGGCCAGTCATTCTGTTTATTTTTGGTACTTTTTTCCGGACATGTTCTCGGTTTCTGGCGTAATGCTATGAAAAAACAGTGTAATTTCACATTCATTTCAAAAACAAATGATAACATTTGTTTTGCAATTTTCAGTTTTTTTTTTTACGCCGCGTCCTCATTATCCACACTTGGCTGGTTGATGGCGGTGGTAATGAGCAAATGATTAATAGATTTCGATGCCAACACATTTCATTGTGGGTGTTTACTTTTGTGTCAGCTCAAAATAGGTATGTCTGTGGTTTTTTTGATGCATGTTTGCATTATGGAAATATTTTTATTGTAAACAAAGAAAACAACAAAAATTATCATTAAATAATTAATAATATATTAAATGTAACAACAATATTACATCGTTTTACTGCATATCATCTCATGTTGTGTACCATTGAATTCGTAATTTATCATGGAACCAAATGAAAGATTTAAGACACAAACTTGAGTTGGCCGAAGTTTACATGATATAAAACAATACACACCAATAAAATATAATAAAAACAAGTAAGCAACGGCTATAGTCGTGGGGGCCGACCATGTGATACCCTACAACACTATCATATGTTCGAAGTCCCCTTATATCCGAATCCATTTTGGAAGATTTTGTTTTTGAAATAATGTCAAAGAGCCCCGCCCAGATGTTACCCTTAGTTTTTTGACCCGGAGAATTTGGCCAATATTTACGCACTCCGTAGTGTTGTTAAGTAATCAAAACAATTTCATACGAAATTTGTGGTATTTTTTACAGCTAAATATAATCCAAACAAAATGCTAATCTGATGCGATAATCGGTGCCGATTAGTTTTCAATTGTGGCCTATAAAGCGACTACAAAATTAGAAAAAAAAATAATTTTTTAGTCTATTTGCACCTCTAAATGCACATCTTAAGAACAAAAGGCTTTAATTCTGACCCTAACCCCATGCAAAATTTCGTGTGGATCGGACGATAATTGCGATATGCATATAATACCCTCAAAACGTAGTGTTGGAGGTGTAAACATTTAGAAAATTTACATTTCAAAAATGTAAGTCAAATTGAAAAAATCGCATGCGATAAAAAATATGACAAAAATTTAAAAAAATTGACAAAAGATAATCACTTTTTTAATGGTATATTTTCCGCGATTTTCTTAGGTTTTTTGGCAAGAGACCATTCCGAACTGATGGTAATAGTGAAAACCGGCCCAGCGGTTCTTGATGTATAAACAGAATAAATAAGATAAATTCTTTTACGTATATATTGTACGTATTTTGCTATATATCCGGCGTCTTGGCTATTAGCATCACTCTAACGATCAGATGTGATCTTTTAATGTATTTGTGATTTGGCTGGGATTGGAAATATTCGCGGTTTAGTGGACATTTTCCTATTTTCTTACATAAAAGTTAGGCTCTATTTTAACGGATAAATATCCGATGGCCGCCCAAGTTGGTAGGTTTCTGCCCACTCCTAAACTCTAACTCCATGTACATTTTCGCGCCGATTTATTGATAATTGTGGCCTATAGAGCAACTGCAAAATCAGGATTTTTTCTGTTTTTGGTCCATTTCAGGCGATCATCTCCAAAAGAAATAGGGTTCTATTCTGACCCTAGTCGCACCTCCATTCTAAATTTCGTGAAGATCGGACCATAATTGCGACCTGTAGAGTGATTACAAATTAACATGGACAGACGGACAGACAGACGGACGGACATACATAACAGATCGACTCAGCTCGGCGAGATAGGAAGATCCATATATACTTTCCTATATGGGAAACCAATATTTCGTGGTGTTACATAATTTTTGGCCCAATCAAACTTATAATACCCCCAACACATAGTGTTGCAGGGTATAAAAAGCCAAAAGTACACCTTTTGTGTATTTCGGACATCGCCTGTAAGTAATGCTGGTATTTTTTCACACAAAAGTAGTGGTCCATTCTACCCGCTGTCCTAAACTCTAAGTTCATGCGAGATTTCGTGTCCTTTGATTTCTATTTGTGACATCTATAATGTCTGCAAAATCAGGAATATTTTTAGTTGTTGGTCCATTTCAACCCCAAAATATATTGGGGACATCTTTGAAAACAATAGGCCTAGCCCTTCTGACCCTAACCCTACTCTTGTGAAAATTTTCGTGAGGATTGAACGATAATTGCAATGTGTATATAATAACCCCAACCTGTGTTGTAAGGTGAAAAACTATTCAAAATGTATACTTCAATATTATAAGTCAAATTGAAAAAATCGCATGCGATAAAAAAAAATATGAAAAAATAAGAAATATGAAAAAAAATAAAAATATGTCACAAAATACAACAAAATTTATATTAACATAATTATTGTCATCTTTTTATGCGATTTTTTTAGATTCTATTCTTTTATGCCAAGAGGGCATTCAGAATTGACAAAGTTTGTCAAAATCGCTCCAGCCATTCTTGAGATATAAGCATTCTAGCTAACATATTCATCCTTTGTATATATACATTGTATATATTTCGCTATACATATCCGATATTTTTACTATCGGCATCTACATAATGGTCAGAATTGGCCTGTTATTTTATTTGTGATTTCGCCGGGATTAAAAATATTCGCGGTTTAATGGAAAATTTGACTTTTATTTAACATAAACATTTTATGGTCTATTTCACCCACTAAATATTACCCGATGACCATCAAAATTGGAAGGCTTCTGCCCAGCCCTAAGCTCTAGCCCCATGCTAACTTCCGTTTTGATTGGTTTTTGGTCCATTTCAACCCCTAAATATTATGCGATCATCTCCAAAAGAAATAGGGTTCTATTCTGGCCTCAATCCCACTTCCATTTTTAATTTCGTGAGGATCGGGCCATAATTGCGACCTGTAGAGTGATTACAAATTAAGAGAGAAATATTTAGTTATGACAGATAATATTTCACAAGTTATGACAGATAAAAGTATTGAAAATTGTGACCCTTTGTTGGAGAGGTACCAGAAGGGGTTCGCAGATATATATCATCTTCACAAAAGATGTTGTGTTATCAAAAATGTTTGTATGTGTGAAATTTGAAGAGATCCAGCTCTCTTATTTTGCTTTCTTTCATTTTTATACCCTCCACCATACTATGGAGGGTATATTAACTTTGTCATTCCGTTCGTAACTCCTCGAAATACTCATGTCAGACCCAACAAAGTATATATATATATTCTTGATCAGCGTAAAATTCTAAGTCGATTTAGCGATGTCCGTCTGCCTGTTCGTCTGTCTGTTGTAATCACGCTATCTTTCGAACGAATTGAGATAGAAGGCTACAATTTTGCACACATTTCAAATTTTATTTTCCCAGTAGGCAGGTTAAGTTCGTAAATGGGCCATGTAGGTTCACGTTTTCATATAGCCCCCATATAACGGTACCTTCGGATATTCGATATTTTGATGATTTTAGCGTCATTATTCACCGGAGTAGTTTCAAATTACGTATTTAGAGTTCGTAATGGGAACTACAGTCTGTGACAGAAAATTGTGTATGCAGATCCAGGTCTTTGTATAGGCCCCATATATCCCTATTTTCGGTATTTTTACGATTTTTGGTACAATACACACCGAAATTGTTTGAGATGTCGTATTTGAAGTTCGTAATAGATGCTACAGCCTGTGGCAGAAAATTGTCTATGCAAGTCCAGGTCTTCGTATAGCCCCCTATAACGGTTCCTCCCAATATTCCGTATTTTGATGATTTTAGCTTCATTATTCAACGTTTATTTCAAGTTTCGAATTTAAATATGGTAATAGCTTATGACAAACAAA